AAATACAGGCTTCACAGGAACATCAACCAAACATGGAATAATGTGCTACTGTATGAGAAGGTAATGCAGAAGCAGCAGGAAAAGGGTAGCATAAGTAGGCCAAATAAATCAGTGACCACCAGCCTTCCACTGCTAGGAAACCCACAATGAACTCAGGCTACTTAGCAATAACATATAGACATAGGGCCTGGGTAAGATGTCTACAGGCTCCCATATCTCGGTGAGCACCTATGAGTGCCAGTTAATTTCTCTATGTGCAATGTTCATGTGCTGCCCCTGACCACTCTGGTTCCTCCAAATCTTCTTTTGCATGTATTGTAAAAATGTATATTGGCATGAAATGGAAAGGTGGAGGAAATGGTAAATTTCTAACTTTATATAACCTTGCAAAACTGAAAAGAAAGGATACAAATCCAAAGCAGATCATTAAAGAGAAACAAAGTTCAATATTCATTGAGAAAAATATCTGACGAAAAGAAAGTTGGTTCAGTGACATGATCAGGTTCAATCTAATTAATAGCTGAAGATGTGCCCCAGGGAAACCTCCAAAAACTAAGCCATACTGCTAAGACTATTGCTTATTGTTAGGCCTCATGGCTGAAGAAAGACAATTGCATCTTAGCCAACATGGAGAAGTTGGGCTAGTGTATACCTGGAAGCTTCACCACTCCTGACTTTCAGTCATGACATAGGAATGTATTCTGCATTCTAGTGAAGGAGAAAGACAGTCATCAATATCACCCAGCTACAAACCCTAGGACAACAGTGACCAATTGACTAAATAGACTGAAACAATAATAGCTTAGTTTGTCAGTAACCAACCACTTTGTGATGGGTTTTGAAGCCCTCTACATGAGATATAAGCCATACCTGACAATGTAAAGTGTCCAAAAATCTGAGCAGATAGTTCATTAGCCTATGGAAATACCCATTACTATTATACTGCTAAAGGAGCATAGTGATAAAATGACTCTTGATGACATACTGCTATACTGAGAGATTAATGTTCCAAACAGCCCACTCCAGTGAAAATCTGTCAGAGTTTATGGAACTACCACAGACTCATAACAATGTGGAGAAAGTGTGAGACTTTGTAATACTTAGTTCTAAATGGGATGGCGTCATGAAAATTATGCCTCAAAGTTCAGGGAGCTATTGAGATGAGGAAACCGAAAGACTCTTGGAGCCAGACGAAATAGTTGATTCCATGGAAGAGTGTATTCCAGATACAACAGAACAGATAAACCCATGGACTAGCACAGACTTCAGCAATGCAGAAAACCATACAAATATTCAAGCCAGATGGATGGTCTAGCAATGAAAGGGGAAGTGAAAACAGGTTTCCCTGACGAACCAAGGACACACCTGCAATTTTATCCTGATGGCAAAGAAGAATAAGTTTCCTAAAATGAATTCTCACTGTGTGTCTTAACCACTTCTCTTGATAGAATACAAATCTGGGAAACATTGGCAAACACATAAATCAGCTCAATAGATA